TTTCAAGCGGACACTCTGATTACAATCTTTCTCATTCATTTCTACACTCGTATCACTTTCAATACAATTTTGAACAGTCTTAGCATTGGCTAAAGTGGAAACTGGTTTTACAGAATTTCGGTCACACCTTTCAAAATACTCTTTTAACATGTTAATGTGACAAACCCGTTTCTCTTTACGTCGACCTGGTGTCTTAACTACGTAGTTTACATCACTGATCTTGCTTTCAATTTCATAAGGGCCATAAAATCTGGCCTGTAAAGGATGACCAGGAATAGGTAAAAATACAAGAACCTTATCACCTGGCTTAAACACCCTATTTCTAGCATCTTTGTCATACCACATTTTCATTTTCAACTGAGAACTCTTCAAATTTTCTTGTGCTAATTTACAAGCATTGTAAAGTTTTTCTTTGAAATCAGACACATAATCTAAAAGATTAAGATCACTAGTCTCAGTCAGCCACTTTTCCTTCAACAATTTCAAAGGACCTCTAACTGTATGACCGAACACCAATTCAAAAGGACTAAACCCAAGAGACTCCTGGACTGCCTCTCGTGCAGCAAATAGTACAAGATGAACCCCTTCATCCCAGTCTTTCTCATACTGGTAACAATAGGTCTTCAGCATTGTTTTTAAGGTCTGGTGAAAACGTTCTAGCGCCCCCTGGGATTCAGGATGATAAGCAGTTGATCTATATTGCCTTATACCCAACTCATGCATGACTTGCTGGAACAACCCCGACATAAAATTTGAGCCTTGATCCGACTGAATTGCCTTGGGTGCTCCTACAAAACTGAAAAACTTGGTTAGGGCCTTAACTATGCTCTTTGCCTTTATATTCCTTAGAGGTATGGCTTCAGGAAACCGAGTGGATGTACACATAATGGTAAGTAAATACTGGTTTCCAGATCTGGTCCTAGGCAAAGGTCCTACACAATCCACCAACACTCGACTAAACGGTTCTTCAAAAGCTGGAATGGGTTGGAGAGGAGCAGATGGTATCTTCTGATTTGGTTTACCTACCATCTGACAGACATGGCATGACTTGCAAAACTTCGAAACATCCTTTCTTAGCTTAGGCCAATAAAAATGACTCAAAATCCTATTATAAGTCTTATTGATACCTAAATGACCAGCCATAGGTGTATCGTGGGCTAAACTCATGACATCTCGATGATAAGCAGCTGGGACCACTATCTGGTGAACAACACGCCACACTTCATCTGGAGAAGCATCAGGTGGTCGCCATTTTCGCATAAGGATGCCATCTTTCATATAGAAGCATTCTCCAACTTTAGTAGCCTCTTCTGGTGGAAGTGCCCTCTTACTAAGTTGAATGATATCTGGGTCTTTATGTTGTTCAGAGAGTAAACGTTCTCGGCTGAGGATGTCCTTGCCTTTGCTAACTAGTGGATGCAACTCATCATCCTCACCACCAAATTTTGGTAAAAATTCTTTCTTCTCTTGCTTCTTGATATTGTGTGGTTCCATGCTGGTTTGAGTGCCATCAAGGTCAGATAAGAAAGTGTCATTCAAATCAATATCAACAGAGGAATTCGTCTCGTCAAAGGCTTGAGTATGGTCTGCCTCCATTTCTCGTCTTCTGGCCATCGCTCTAGTAACAGCACAGGCTGGATAAATGTCATCATCTTCATCATCGCACATGACATCTGGATTGATCTTCTCACAAACTATAGGATCTGGTACAACTTTCCCACCAGCTAAATCGTTGCCTAACAACAAAGAAATGCCTGGAACGGGAAGAGTAGGTCGAACACCTACGATAACAGGTCCAGTAACTAAATCTGACTTCAAACTAATTCTATGCAGGGGAACATCAATGACGCCTAGCTCCACACCCTGTAATAAAACTGACCCACCAGTGGAAGTCTGCTCAGACAAAGGAAGCACGCCCTCTAACAATAACGTCTGTGCAGCACCAGTATCTCTCAAAATCTGGACAGGTTTTATTTCGCTAGAGTCACCGAGTGAGACAAATCCCTGAGACATAAAGGGCTTATAATCCTCCATAGAATCCATAGAACTGGACTGTGAACCCTGGACATCAGGAGTATCAGAACAAATCGAAACTAAGGCTTCTCTATCACCTCTAACTGCCGCACAAGCGTGTGGTTGAGTTTTATCAAAATCATTTTTTCTCTTAAGTTTAAAGCATTCACTGATCAGATGACCCTTTTTCTTACAATAACTACAAGTAGGAAGCGACCCTTTTCCAGACGATCCTTCAACACGTCCTGGACCGGACTTAAAACCACCTTGGGATGGAGACTGGGAACTTGTGAAAGACTGAGACCCTGAACCACTCTTTTTATATGTGTCTGAATTGGTAGAATTACTGCTAGTCTGAGATCTTGAAACAAAATTCTTTTTATGAGACAGAGCATAAGTATCAGATATGACTGCTGCCTCTTCAAGAGTTTTCACATTCTTATCTTCTAAATGTGTTTTCAAATCTTGAGGAACACATTCCTTAAACTCTTCTACCAGGATGACTTGGCGCAAATTAGCAAAAGTTTTATCAAGTTTCTTAGATCTAAACCAGTGATCGAATAAATCTTCTTTCTCTCGTGAAAATTCAACAAATGTTTGATTATCAAACTTTCTATACTTTCTAAACTTTTGTCTATATGCTTCAGGTACTAATTCATATGCTTTTAATATTGCTGCTTTGACCTTCTCATAGTCTGAACTCTCAACTACCCCTAGTGCAGAGTATACCTCAGCCGCTTTTCCAACCAGTACACTTTGTAACATTGTTGACCAAACGTGTTGTGGCCATTTAAGATTCTCTGCGACTTTTTCGAATTGGGGAAAATATTTGTCTACAGATTTTTCTTGAAATTTCGGAACTAACCTAATGTTTTTTGCTGCGTCAAATTCAGTTTTGACAACTGACGGTTCTGGTTGGTTTTGTAATTTTAATTTCTCTAATTCAAAGTTCATTGCACGCTCTTCTCTTTCTGCTGCTAATTTGTCTAATTCAAATTTTCGTTCACGCTCTCGTTCTTCTCTTTCTCTTTCTCGCTCTTCTCTTTCTTTTTCTCGATCTTCTCTTTCTAATTTTTCTCTTTCTAATCGCATTTTCTCTAACTCTAATTGAAACTGATATTCTGCCATTTTGTAAGAGCCTAAATCTGATTTAACTGTATATTCTGGAAGATCGTATTTTTCAAAGATGTTTTCTTCTACTAGTTTGTTTGCAACCTTAATTCTAATGTCTTGCTTTCTCTGAGAGGATTTAACATCTAACCCAAAATGCAAACCTAATGCGATCAAGTCATCCTTTTTTAACGTATCAAAAACCTGAACACTTGGTGAACTAAGAAAGTCTGTGACCGAAAACACCATGTTGATTTCTGCTGGCTTATAATCAAATTTAACAAAAATTTAATGAGCAAAATTATGACAATAAACTGCAAAAGTGCAAAAATTCTTTATCCCGGACGAGCCCCCAATTCTGTTATGGGTCAGAATTACCCTAAATGCCAGCAAAGATCAATAACACAATTTAAACTTAACAATAATTTATTTACAGTAGTTTATAATAAGTATATGAAACATAAAGTACAAACTTAGCAAGAATCTAAAAATACATACATCAGAGTGTCCGTTGCTGTACACAATGTCCAGTGTAATTATATCCCAGTTATATCTCAATAGTGCTTATACGACAAAGTATTCACAATTATTGTATATCTATGCATTGAATTGACAGGGTATTTATACAGTATTATAAATCTAGAATATTCTAGAAAATGTTAAAAAATGATATTACTGGAACAATCTGGACATACACAAAATTTAAGAATGTTCTAGATAAAATGACCAAACATGTTGACCACTCTGGAAGGTTCAAGAAACTTAATGTTACTAATTATATACATAATAAAACAATACACATCTCACAACACTTTCATTGTGTTCTAGTGTCGACCGGGGACAGGTTGACAGTTGACACTTCCCTTTTGGTCTAGTGTCGACCGAGGACAGGTCGACGGTTGACAGTTGACACTTCCCTTGTGTTCTAGTGTCGACCGGGGACAGGTCACCGGTTTACAGTTGACACTTCCCTTGTGTTCTAGTGTCAACAGGGGGACAGGTTGACAGTTGACACTTCCCTTGTGTTCTAGTGGCGACCGCGGACAGGTCGACGGTTGACAGTTGACACTTCCCTTGTGTTCTAGTGTCGACCGGGGACAGGTCGACGGTTGACAGTTGCATGACACTTTTATTGTGTTCTAGTGTCGACAGGGGACAGGTCGACAGTTGACACGTTTCATAGAGCCCCATATGATCTGTCGACCGCGGACAGGTCGACGGTGACAATTGACACTTCCCTTGTGTTCTAGTGTCGATCGGGGACAGGTTGACAGATGACACTTCCCTTGTGTTCTAGTGTCGACGGGGGACAGGTCGACGGTTGACAGTTGACACTTTCCATATGTTCTACTGTCGACACTAACCCTAATCACAGCTACAAATGCGAAACTAACCCTAGTTACAGCTATAAAATTTACCCTTATCACATCTTTTTATACGATACTAACCCTTATCACACCTATTAATGCGAAACTTACCCTAGTAAACTAGTAACGTTTCCCAAAACAATTACAATGTTTAATTTTCTTTGCACATAAATCGCAAGATTATTGCATATAACTCACAAAATTTTCAAAATTAATAAATTTTTAGGATCTGAAGATTTAACTTTTCGAAAAAAATTCCAGAAAGTTAGAAAATAAATTGGTAGTTTATAAAAATGATTACACGTTTTCGAAAAATAAATATTATGTTCTCAAATAGAAACAATAAGTTTCATCTAACATAAACCACTATTTGAATATTAAAGATTCAACGGTTATATGTCATATGCATATATATCGGCTACAGCTTCAATTGACGAGCAGTTCTCAAAAAAGATATATGCGATATTTAAAGTCATACCGTGTGTGTGTGTAAAAAAGGCACATTTTTCAGAATTAGTATTTTTTAATGTGTCTTCTTAGTTTTCTATGGCCGAAATATAAATTTATCCATTTTGCATTCATATACATGCTTCACGGAAATATTTAGGTCTACGAGGGCTTATGCTCGCTGCCCTGCTGGCCGGCTTAATGAGTACACTTACTTCAATACTGAACAGCGCTAGCTCCATCATGACCCTCGATATCTGGCACCAGTTTCGTAAAAAGGCCTCTCAGCATGAGTTGATGATTGTTGGAAGAGTTACCGTCCTTATTCTCGTTGGACTCAGTATCCTGTGGTTACCGATTTTACAGCAGACCCAGGGAGGGCGATTCTGGTTTTATATCCAGTCTGTGAGATCATATCTTGTACCTCCTCTGTGTATGATGTTTCTTTTGGGTTTGTTCTGGAAAAGGACCACAGAACAGGTTGAAAATTTAAATCTTGATTAAATAATGCAGAGAGAATGTAAAGCTGAAGGAGAGATTATTCATGTATGTCACTGAATTCGCTTTGTTTAAATTTTATTCCAGGGAGTGTTTTGGGGACTGATGCTAAGCATAGTAGTGGGTTTTGTACGCATGGTCCTAGATTTTACTTTTCCAGCACCTGCATGTGGCAGTGATGATGTAGACCCCAGACCAGAAATCATCTCAAAAGTGGATTTTCTGCATTTTGCAACACTTTTAGCGATATTTGCAACGATTGCTATGGTTGTCATCAGTTTGTTTACGCAACCTCGCCCTGCAAATAAGGTACATCGTTCTCATGCCTTTAATAAATCCTTCAGTGCAAGTCGAATAATAGAGTAAAAATAAATCTTAGTTGTCTTTAGCTCCATCGTCTAACATGGTGGACAAGGAATGATGATGTACAACCAGAACTGACAGATGACGAGGATGAAGATGTTCACATCTCTGTTCACTTGAAGGAAGAAGACTCCAAACCTATGGAGATTCAGGAGAACCAGAAACTGACATCTGATGAGAGTAAAATTTATTGAAATTTAGACCTTGTCAGCAAATACAATTTATCATTAAATCAAATGCTGACTAATGTTTTTCTTACAAATTGTTAGTCCATTATTTATACACTGAATTGACAACGGATTTTTCTGTTATTTCCCGATCATGACCATGAGCACACAGCGGGTGTGACTTGTCAGCAGGGAATGCTTACTCGTCCATGGCACCTGATCCCACCTCTGATGTTTCGGAGGTCCATGTTTACTCTGCTCCTTTTTTGCGTTGTTTTATAGACTTTGAGATTGCATACTGTTCCGTATCTCAAAATCCTTTTATATATACATATATTTTTTTCGGCTTTGTATTTCAATTTTTGATTCAAAATTCATTCCTATTGACTGAAAGAAAGAAAAAATTCTTAATACCCTCTTTTTTTAAATGAGATACCTAAAAATTGTGATCTTATTATTTTATCCTTCTTAAAGCTTAATGAAGAAAAAAAATATACATGTAACATGTGTAGAGCTGTGGAAATTAAAAAAAAGGTTTCAATAAACTCTTGAGTGATTCAATAGGAATCCTTATTAGGAAAAAATACCGCGGCGGTTTTTAGCACTTGACACTGATTAATGTTGTCCAATTATCTTTAATTCAAATTAAGAAGTTTTATTTAATTCAAGGCATTGCCTTTGCATTTACAGGTGGTTTTAGAAGACTCGCGACCCTTTGTAAGAATTGGGTCTGCGGAATTGATGAGGATGCTAAACACACCATGACTCGAGAGGAGATAAAAGAATTAAGACAGAGGATGACGTCATTAGAGGAGGCCTCGCGGTGGAGGAAAATTTTAAACATTTCTGCCGTAATCATTGGTGTCTTTACCGTTTTCTTACTAATATTTTTTCGCTAGATAGTACTGCAAATATGATTTGGAGATTCTTACCGATGTCTACGCAAAGCATATTTGTGATCGACTCTGCAGTTATTACCTTTCATTAAAAAATCAAAAAAATTATTTCAGGCTTAATAAAGTGGCTCACATGAATCATTTCTGTAGACTATTTAAAATGCTGAAGACATTATTTCGTATGACCTTCAATTCTCGTTATTTTGAAAAGAAGATTTATGTGTTATATAATTTCAACTCAAATTGTGCATTATTTTTCTTTGGGATTTTTTTTACTGGTGTGTTCATTTTACCATACAACGGACCCAGGTAAACCATACATCGGACTCTGTCCGAGGCATAATAATTTATTTCCTTTCACATATAGCAATCTTTGCAAAATTTACAATACCAAAAGCCGTTTTTGCAGAAATAAGATAAATTCAACACATTAAATGAAAAAATACAACTTATTGATATGTAACAACCAGAAGTGGACTCTTCTCGCCTCTAAAATATAACATTCAAATTTAATCCAACTGATACCATCACTTAGTTACAATGTATTCTCGAATCTGTTACTTTTACTGATGCTTGCCATTTTTATTTTATGTGTAAATCCTACTATGATAAATCATTCATTGGTGCTAAAATGGTTATTATTTATAGATAGTATAACTTATATACTGTAAAAGTAAAACTATATTTATCATATCCCCATAATAGATGATAATATATATAATTTTTGTCCAATCCGTCCGTTTGTATGTATGTCGGTCTATCTGTCCATCTGTTGTCTGTCTATCTATCTATTGTCAATCTGTCTGCTCGTTCGCAAAAACTTTTAACTTGCCAATAACTTCTGAGTGGGTGGAGCTGTGACTACTGTGAAATCACTTATTTTCTTGGGGAGGTTAATCTTCGGATCTTTCTGTTATTTCCTAATCTGCTTCATATGAACAAAAAATAGGACTGCTAATAACGGGACACAGTTGGTACCAATGGAAATTCTCCAGTTTTCTAATCCAAAATTATTCTCGTTGGCTACGGAAAAGTATACTCAGTGATGGACCGTTTATGTGGTGGAAAATCTTTTCTATAATTCTAACTTTCAAAGACAAAATAGAATAATCAGGTAAATTAGAATGCTTGTATACAAGCTGCTGACACCCATTATTAATTTGAAATCTATGACCTGATATTCTTGATGATATTTTAAACAGCATTTCTGCTTCTACTAATGGTTACACCTAAAAAAAATAAACAACCTTAAAAGAACTTTTGCAGATTTTATTGAATATCTATATTTGATTCTTGAAGTATTTTCAATCAACACTTCAAGTTGACTACATGTATTTCTATGCTAACATCTCTTCACCAGCTCCCACATTTTGTTTGCTGCTGTCTGGCAGTTAGCCCGATCAGTTTGTAGGGTTTGGAGATCAGGGCATTCTACATGAACGTGTTCACCGTATAACTACATCTACTGACCGATTTGGATTTTAGCTGACTCCACCTGTGAATTACGTACATTTATGAAACAAAATATAGTTCCCGGCTCAGGTTTAAAGAAAAATAATTGATTATCTTCACGCGTAAGAAAGCGCTGTACAATGATCATATTAATAAAAACAAATTTGCTTTTTTATATCTTGAAAATAGATGTGCATGCATGCATCAAAATTAAACTAAACATAATGACAGAATACGGCTCGTGTCCACATGTGGTTTTAAAATAACTGGAAATTGATTGTGTTAAGCTTTCGTTTTGGTTTCTTTTAGGTTTTATGACCGTATCATATGTAAAAGGATGTCTGTATTAGATAAATGCTTTTAAAGTTTTAGCCTTTTTTTGCCTATTCGCAAAATAGGTTGAAACGCTAGGTTGTTTGTTTCTTTTTACTCATATTGAGACGCCACCACTTTCCGATGGAGGACTGCAAACTAAGACCTGTACTCAGAACGTCTTTGAGCAATGAAGGATCTTATCAACCAGTCCCTCCTGCGACACGGGACCTCGTTTAAACGATCTAATCCGAGAAACTGGTCCCCACATCCCTCTGTTGGTTTTAACCAGAAACGAATTGATAAGGTCCTTGTTCTTTGCCTTTATAGCAATTTTTTTACCAGTTTGTTGCACGGAACCAAGTTTTAAAAACATTAAGAAAATCTAAAAAGAAGTTACGAGAGAAGGACTATCCAAGAATGATTGAAAATATCTCTCCTGCCTCCTCAGCAAGAAAAGGTTTAGGATCTCTACTGAAAAAAGTCATTATCTATTTGAAAAAGATGGATAGAAAAGGACAATGAGACTACAGTTTAGGTTTTACAAAGACACATCTATTCATTGTACTTGCTCCTATATCAACCAAATCCTTCCAAACAACTTGCCCTTAACATTTGCATTGAACTTTACCGCTTAACCTGACATACTTAGTTGCAAAAGTGTTATGACTCTTTAAAATGCATTGCAAAAAGTCAAAATTTGAAAAAAATTACTTTCTGGACATATAACCAGCATCTGTGATAACCGTGTCAGACGAATCACCATAATCTGACCCCTTGTGGATTAACCACCGATCCCCGTTCTCGACAGTAACGACAACTCTTGCATGGCGCAAGTCATAGTCAAAGCTTCTCTTCCCGCGCCACAAGCCACCGCCTCCGGCCCGAGCTGCCGGAACTTCCCGATCCACTCAAGGGTCTAAATTTTATTCAAAAAACAACAACAGCAAAAAAAAAAAACAACAACAACACACTATTATTATGGAAGTGATTTATGCCAATTTTCATGTTTTTCTGAGTTGTTATGCTCTAATGCCACTGACAACAACACAATTGGACTGATAAAGTAATTCCCACCAATATAACAGCAAGTTTTTATCAAAATCTGCCAATCTACCAATCTCATTTTTGTGAAACTGTCACTTATTATTTTATATTTTCTGTATACATTCCCTTCTGAGAAGAACAAATTTACCAGGAAATGAAAACAGTGACTTTTTTGTTTTCTAAAGCAATGACTTTCAAAATTCATTTTGCAATAGAGTATCTGATTTTAAGAAATAGGCCATAAGGAATGCTTTACGTTATACATTTCACAACTAACAATTTAGAGAAACGTGTGAAATGATCTTAAATTATCCAGTATTCTGCCCTGGTAACTCTAGAATTATACAGCCTTCTTAAGCAGGATTTAGTTTTGCAATCTTTGCAGGAGGCTTGTAGAAGAAACAACAGAGATAAGGCAAAAATATGGATCATTGCCATTCTGTTTCAAACAGTTGGAAATTATTATTGATATACAATTTTAATCAACTTCAATGTAAGGCCCGCAAAGTAATTTGTTGAAGATCTGACTGTTAACTAAGTTTATTTTTGGCAGTATTATTTATATTATAACATGTAAATTGGAGTTTACATTTTAAATTGCAACACATGCACAAGAAACAATTTGTCATGGGGAAAACTGGCTCAAAATTATATCGTTTGATTGATAATTTTTACCTTTTCAGTTATATATTTTTTTATTATTATTTATATTTTTTTTCATAATAAACAAAGAGATAACTGAAACATATTTACATTTATGCCACACACACACACACACACACACACACACACACACACACACACACACACACTATCTACTATCCTTCTATAGATAATATTAAAAGAGAGAAGAAAAAAGATAATACATGTAAATTCATTTCATCACTATTTCCCCCAACACCTTATAACATTGTGCATAAATTATCCGACTTATTAAATACATATATTCTTTTATCAATATGAGGATAAAAAAAGAGATAAAAAAAAAGAAAAGAAAAAGAGAAGACAATAACAATAGTGAATGACATTGGAACTGTCACTCCTCAAAAACAGGTTTCCATGTAGACCATATGGAATTAAAATACACCATTTTATTCTTTTGGATTGAAACAAATTTTTCAACATTATATTTGATTCTTAGATGACATAAGAGTGCACTGAGATTTGGCATTTTCTTCTGCATCAAACAAGTAAAGATATATTGTTTAGTTTATAGTTTAATAAAATTTACAGCTCTATTATTTTTTGACAAAAGAATCTCTCCTAATATAACATTATTAATGTTAAATTCGACCCTTTTTGAAGTAGTTCTATATATATGTTGGCTAAGACTACTCTAAGACTACTCCACAATGCCAAAATATTATTACAAAATAAAAATACATGTTGGATTGTTTCACTTTCAGTCTTACAAAAGGTACAAAAATCAGTGGTTTTAATATTAGTCTTTTTAAGATAGTAACCTACAGGAAGAATCCTATGCAGTATTCTAAACTGCAGCCATTGAACAGCTGTATCACTTGTTACTTTAAAACAAACTTTAAAAACATCATGTATTTCAAATTTACACTGCCCATAGATACTCAAAATGGAAATCCATTTTGATGTAGATGTAGATTAAACACTATTTGTGTTTAAAATAGAGTAAATTGGCTTAGTGCATTTTTCTGACTGTAACAACAATTCATAATAAAAGGGCATAAGTGTATTGAAAGATTTTGTGGATAAGGATTTGTCAATAGACATACATTTCAAATATTTTGATACTGCAGTAAGAACACTTATATTGCATAATCTGTTTATTTGTATCTGTTTGTGAGAGGCAAAAACTTTTTTGTAAAGAATCAAAGCAAAAAAATTTTCCTTCGCTATCTAAAAAATCTCCAATTACTCTGATACCTTTCTCAAACCAATTTTTGATAAAAACAGACCGTTTGCCAACCAAGATATTAGAATTGTACCACACCGGGATATTTAAAGAATTAGTTTTTACACATTTACAATTATTTAAACACTTCAAGACTTCCAGCCATGATTTTAATACATCTTGCCAGAACGCATTGTTTTTAGGAAGTAAATGCTCTAATATAAACAGATCCCCAAAATGAAATAGCTTCTCAATAACATCTTTTCCATTCAATGCCCAAAAAAATCCATCCATGGCTTTTGCTTTTGAGTTAACCTTTTCATCCAAGAAGATTTTAAAGCAATTATAAAATTATCTACA